TTTTTTTAGGAAAACAATAAAAGTAATAAAAATTCGTTTTAAGGCTTTAATAATACAAGTCTTTAGAAGTAAAAAATATTTTTTTCATTAATTTTTTTAATAAAATGACGACGCTGAAGCCATTTTATTAAACGTCGTTTTATAGCCACTGTCAAATCGGTGTTGCGGGGATCTGCCATTCGATTAAACCTGGAGCAAAAAACCAAAATTTTTTAAAAACTATATAATATGCACTAAAGAAATACATACGGATATTTTGAAATATAGATTTTTATAAAAATTGCGAACATTTGAAAAAAAAAGTGTCATTTTCGGGCAAAAAATTTTATCAAGAAATGTTAAATAAAAAAAAAGTATTTAACATATCGAAATATCCGTATATATTTCTTTAGTGCATATTATAGTTTTTAAAAAATTTTGCTTTTTTGCTCCAGGTTCAATCAAATGGCAGATCCCCGCAACACCGATTTGACAAAACGACGTTTAATAAATTAGCTTCAGCGTCGCCATTTTGTTAAAAAAATAAATAAAAAAAATATTTTTACTTCTAAAAACTTGTATTATTAAAACCTTAAAACGAATTTTACTTTTATTGTTTTCCTAAAAAAATTCCCAAAGTTATCGATTGATTTTCAGGCGGTCAAGGTGGTGTAACCGCTTAAATGGGAACCTATACCTTTCTCTCTCGCACAGATGTTAGCTTCAGCTCGATGCACGGACGGTATAGACAATTCTCCTTCCAGTAGTATATGTTCTAACAAGATTACCAGCATTGGCCGTAATACTCTCAGATACCTTGGTTCAATTCAAATTTTATATCTGCACCTCTTATATTTTGTACCTCCGTTATCGCTTTGTATGATTACCGCTTCTTTCATTCGTATAATTATAATCGGGTAGCAAAAGAAAACTTTATTCTACAACATAATAAATGTGTCGTTCGTTCACACTTACCTTCGTGACAGTTGACTGCCGATTACTCGGAGGACTGGAGGACTCGGTCTGATGACCCTTCTTGGCTAGCTGCTGCGGCACGCTCTCCGTCGATGCGTTCCTCACGCGGGAGATCAGCGCTTTCCGCACCGTGTCGATGAACCGCGAGCCGCTGCCACTGCTTCCCGAAGTGGATACATCGTTCGTCGGACTCACCGGGCAAACGTTCAGGCCGGAATTTCCCAGGCCAAGCGGGCCACCGAGAAATTCCGCCGTTTTGGTCTGCAGTTCTTCCGTTAGTGATTCCAGCAAGGCCGATCTGGTCCGCAGCTGAAAATCGAGCAATTAAATTTAATTGTCTTTGCCATTTTGCGCAAATCTTTTGCGGAAATTATTATCTGATGATGATGGTGAACTACCGGATGCAGATTCAGTGAAGATGTGGATATTCTTTGGATGTTTTCTCATTTTGCAAAGAACGGCGAAAGTGGAAGAAAGCCGGTCAAGAAGACAAAGAGACTTACCTCCAACTTGGAGAATTTCTCGGCCTTGTAAGCGGCGTTCTCGGCGTTTACGAGTTTCGTGAGCAGGAACTCTTTAAACTCGACACCTCTGAGAAAGACTGCCGGCGTCGGTAGAGTCGGTCCGAACCAGGGAACGTCGTCGCGCGCCGTCACGCTGACTTTGTACCTTTGAAATTCGACGTTGCTGTTATTCTCTCGCGTTATCATTCGAACAAAAGCGACACAGTTTTCACGAGTGACGAGAGATAAACGTTTTAAATAATGGAAACGTCCGTTTCGACTTCGTGGAGTGTATAAGCGGCGGAGTATAAACGGGAGAAAGCACCTAAGAATCTAAGAATATACCTCGTATTGGGAGTGCAGGGGTCGATGACTTGTACGACGATGAAGGCGTGCAAGAAGTGGCTGGCGATCATGTCCGGGCTGAAGGGCGTCGGTTCCTCTTGAAATATGACGGCAACGATGTCATTGCCGATGTGACGTTTGCGCTGCAGCTGCTGCGAATCGCCCGGGCTGTACGGCAACAACGAGGCTACGTGGAACAGCACCTCCCGGCCCCGGAACACTTCGTACACCGCCGAGTCGCCGGTCTGACCGTGTCGAGTATCCAATCCGCCACGATAACTGCAATACCCGACGAATTGAAAAATAGTATCGGAAAAAGAAATGAAGAAGTAAAATAGGGCAAATATTAAGAATATGCATTTTACAATTTTCCACTTATCGATTTCTTATCATTTTTTGTTTAGAATTTTATATAATTAATAAAATTATATATTTCCAAATTTTATGCAGAAAAATCAATAAATATGTGCTTTGAATTATGTGTTAAAAAGAATTTTAACATATAAGCTCTTTAAAAAGAGATAATCTCTTAATTCTTTAATCCTTTATTGCAAATTTTATAGAACATATTTTGCTGAATCTTATAGAATTTTTTGGAGTTGTTAATTGCAAATCTGAGGTCAGAACTTAAACAATCAAAATAATACTGATATGGCAGCCAAATTAAAAAAAATTTAACTATGATTTGTACACAACAAAAATTGTGTGCATACGTAAGGGTTTTTTAAACTTCAAATATCAAATCTGGAGTCAAAATTTGAAAATGAAAGATTCAATATCGAAGAAATCTTTGCTACTTTTTAATGAAAAAAATCCCACTCTTAACGTAGCCTAGAACTAGCGATAAAAATGTGGCAAGTTTTCTATGTTTATATATCGGAAATATATATAAAGATTTATCTAAATATAAGTGATTTTTTAAAATTCTTAGTTATTTCTTGGTCGCTATATTGGATCGCTATTTTCAATTTTTAATACAGAAATCAACGATGTCAACAAACATTAATGTAAAAGATTTTTAGAGCATGTTTATTTCCTTCTTGTTGCCATGAATAAAGAAAAATTTGTTAAAATAAATTTTATAAATAAAAAAATGTTTAAGTTCTTTAAAAAATACTGACTGAATTTTGACTGATACAGTCGAACCTCTATAACTCGAAAACCTCGAATTTTTTCCTTTAAAAGCCATTATAATCTGAAAATTATAAATTTTCGTACAAAATTTTGCGTAAGTCAAATTTTCATGTTAATTCTCTTTTATTCAAACTTCGATAAGTCGAATTCTCTATAACTAGAAGATTTTATAGCTCTTCCTTTGAGATTTGAGTTATCGAGATTCGACTATATTTGATTTAGATATAATTGATTGTTGATGCAAAATAATATTGTATATATATTTATATAATATTCATACATGGATTTGCCTCAGAAAAGCACAAAGGTAGCAAATCAATTAATGAAATGCACAAAAATATGAAAAAAAAACTTAAAAAGACAGGCGTCCTATAAATCTTACCCCTTATGATCCTTGAGATCGATTTTCTGACCAAGCAGATCGAGGAACTCCTGAAAGGCCGGAGTGATCTGCCGATTGCCGAAGAGCTGCTCCTCGGTGAGCTGGCCGGCTCGCTGATGGAGAACGCCGAACTTGAACCTGGAGACCAGGGCATGCTCGTCGTATCGGGCTATCAGGGTACCGGCGCCGGGGCACATGACCGGCATCAAGAGGTTCACGTTTAGCGTCTCGTTGATCGCCTGCGAGAAAAAATATGTATTCTCTTCAGTGAGGACACATGCACGAACACGTGATCGACGTGCGATTACGAAAAAAAAAAAGGCGAGGCAAGGTCTTTCCTCGTGTTTTATCACACCACCACCACGAAGCTACCGATTCCTTGATGTGTATCTTTCTCCTTTTCTCTTCACGTTCCCCCGTCTCTCTCTCTGTTTCCCTCGTTTCCTGCTGTGCCACGCGATCGCGCACGTAACAGTCGAGGAGAGATAAAGCATGCACACCGGCGAATGTTAAATTATTCAGCGCGTTTATGCGTTTTTGCGCGCATATAGGAGTACACCGAGCGGGCAGGAATATAGGACCCAAGGCCGGATATAACATTTCTATCGCCCGAAGGCGAACAAATTTTCAACAGTCGCTCTATGAAATGGTTTATTCATTTTTTGCAGCGCTCGGGTTTTGCTATCGATATTTCTGCACACTTATACTTTTGCACAATCTGCGAACGTTTCATAGCTAGTATCACAGAAACAGCAGAGATGTAGACAGAAAAAAAGAATAAAAAATAAATTTTACATTTATATCTTACTACAAAATATTATATTCACGTTATATAATATTTTCTAAAATTGAAAAAAAAAAATACACGTTTTCAAATAACAACAATAATGATTACTTTTTTCGGAAATTTTACTTTCATTAAATTCTCTTTACAGAATTTTTCATTGATTTTTATTTTTAAATTAATGAGACTGGATTTTAAACATTTATTGCAATAAAAAAATTAAATTAAATTAAAATATGATTTTTTTATGTCAAAGAAATTAAGCAATACTTATTGTTAGTTTAATGATGATTCATGTATAAATTCAAAAATTCTCGAAATCTGCGACGGCTGTTTCTTTAATCGTGATTGTATTTCAATGTTTTTTTTTGTAGAGTGTGCCAATGTAAAAAAAAAAGAATATGCTATAACGTAACTATTACGCAACTCATTACAGTACAATTAATAATTCAAACGCGCGGCGGGACGCCTATAGACGTATAGGAATCTAACTTTACGCAGATATGGAATTCTCATCGTCGAGAGCTCGCGCGTTACGAGAAATCCGATTGCGAAGCAACTGCTTGATCTTGAAACAACTTCGTAAAAAAAAAAAAAAAAAAACTGAGCTCTCTGTGAGCGTTTCATTTTGCTCGTATTAATATCGCGTTCTCCGCAAACACAACGCGACTGTTGTCTCAGGCGTTTCTTATTATCTCTTCAAACACACAGGTAATCGAGTATGCCTGTCTCGAGTGCGCGCCACTCGGTGTAGTGTATAAGCGGCGCGCGTCTCCCGATATGTAAACAGCGCGTGATAAATCGCACAATAGCTCAAAGAAAATCAACCGGCGGTTTTCGCGTTGCAGGTTTAAAAAATGGAGCACGCGACGACGGCAGCGGCCGTCCCGCCCGCTGGAAGGAGGCCGCGTGATTAATTTCAGAATACGCCGAAATATTTTACGAATGTTTTACGTGAATGTGTATACAAATAAATATTTTAAAATTTTTACATTCTACCTCAATTTAATCGGCAATAATTAAAAAAATTTCTGAATCAGAGTTTTTACTGAAATTTTGTAAAAAAAAAAAAGAATTTCTAGATTTTTCAGGAATTTAAAATTCCTGGTTAGAGAACTTTTTAATGCAACTTTGAAATAAGTTAGAGTGTAGACAACGCAAGCAAACTATATACACTGGAAATTAGTAGAAAACAGAGAATCCACGACTATCTATAATTTTCTACAATTGGAAACCATAGTATATAGAACTCACTACAATACAGTATCAGAGCTAGCTATTCTTTTTTTTCTGAGTATTATCTTTTATTGTTATCCTAAATAGTTTTTATAAAAATTCATGAGACACATGAGAATATACGTGAATACATGTGTATGTCATGCTTATTACTAATCAACTGTGAATGACATTTTGCATTATCAAGGAAAAATAATTAAAGAAACAATGTTTTTGGAAAGAGATAAAATTTAAATTAAAATGTAAAATTTCAATAGTTTCCCCAAAAGGAACTGATAAAATTCCAGAAAAATCCCTTTTCAAGAGTGAAAAAAGAAATTTCCATGAAAATTTAGGTTTTTCCAGATGATAAATACCCTGTTCTGAATTAACATTGTAACATTGTTGTCGTTCATCAGAATTTCTTTCGTGCGCTTTTCTAAAAAAACTTCCAAAAAAACGCATCTCAATGTGTCTCTAATGCATTTTCTCGCGCGTTTTAATCTGAATTTCATTTCAGAATCAACTGTCGACATTTTGCATTATCAAAGAAAAAATATTTAAAGAAACAATGTTTTTAGAAAGAGACAAAATTTAAATTAAAAAGTAAAATTTCAAAAGTTACCCCAAAAGGAACTGATAAAATTCCAGAAAAATCCCTTTTCAAGAGTGAAAAAAGAAATTTCCATAAAAATTTAGGTTTTTCTAGATGATAAATACCCTGTTCTGAATTAACATTGTAACATTGTTGTCGTTCATCAGAATTTCTTTCGTGAGCTTTTCTAAAAAAAGCTTTCAAAAAAACGCATCTCAATGCATCTTCTCGCGCGTTTTAATCTGAATTTCATTTCAGAATCAACTGTCGACATTTTGCATTATCAAAGAAAAAATAATTAAAGAAACAATGTTTTTGGAAAGAGATAAAATTTAAATTAAAATGTAAAATTTCAATAGTTTCCCCAAAAGGAACTGATAAAATTCCAGAAAAATCCCTTTTCAAGAGTGAAAAAAGAAATTTCCATAAAAATTTAGGTTTTTCTAGATAATAAATACCCTGTTCTGAATTAACATTGTAACATTGTTGTCGTTCATCAGAATTTCTTTCGTGCGCTTTTCTAAAAAAAACAAAAAAACGCATCTTGTCGCGCGTTTTAATCTGAATTTCATTGCGTGCAGACGTTATGCCGACTGGAAAGAGTTATTATCGCAGGTGAAAGCCGTTACCTTGACCATCTTCGTCGGCGTAGGACTCGAGCTGAGATTTGTAGCTGGGACCAGCTCGTGCGTCGATCCCGCCCGAAGTCGCAGCAGCACCCGCCAGTGTTCCTGTCCGGCGACCGTCTCGGCCTTCACCGAGACCAGGACCGGGCCGTTCTCACCGTCCCTTCCCACGAGATTCACGTGTTCCTGCGGAAAGAGAAGAAGTCGTGACGATAAGACGACGTGTCGTTTCACGGTCGTGCGGGGCAACTACGTGCGGCAATTAGCCATGGTTTCCGGTTCCTCCGCGCGGCAACCACGTCGCTGAAGAGTCTTTTATATAAGAATACGTCGAAAAGCTGGGAAAATCGTGGGAAACGCGGGCAATGCTCAAGGATGCGAAGCAGTTGGTGGATTAAAAAAAAAACTTGATCTCTTGTCCGCGATATGCCTGCTGAGAAGCCTGTCCTCCAGCCTGGCGCAAGTCTGCTGAAAAGCCAGAAGTTCATCGAGACTCTAATGCTATTCTTTGAATGTGTCGACAGCGTCGGCACAAAAGAGAAATATAATGTAGGACTTTCAAAAAGTGGCGATAGACTTAAAAAAATGATAGATCTGATCAAACTGAACAACTTTTGTCAAGTACACGGAAAGAATTTTCTTTTAAAATTTACCCTGAAAATCATGTTAATTGTGAGACAATATAGTATTTAGGTAAATTTTACTGTGCACTACAATAAATTTTACTGCGAAATCTTATTGTAGTGCACAGTAAAATTTGCCTAAATACTATATTGTCTCATAATTAACATGATTTGCAGGGTAAATTAAAAAAAAAATTCTCTCCGTGTAACATGTGTTCTTAAGGCTCTAAGCCTCAATTAATTTTTATATGTATAAATGTTGCTTAATTTCTGTAAAATAGGAAATCATGTTTTTCAAGTTAAATTTATTTAATTTCAATTCAATTAATCAACTTTTTTATTGTAATAAATATTTAAAATGGCATTCTCCAACTTAATTGTTATTTTACAACTATAAACAATGTTCAACGGAAATCGACGCCTAATGTCTTAAGGAAAACGTCATCGAACACGCATTACTTAACAAATGTTATTCAATTTTACGAGATCTCTTACAAGGGAATCTCGCGAAGTTAAATTTTGATTTTAATGAAACTTGGTACACTTTTAGATTAAATAAATGAATTTAGAAAATATCAGTTGGTGCTAAAAAACGATTTAAAGGGGTGAAACCATCTCATATATAATGAGATATTATATCTCATATATCAAGCAATTTTCAGTTTTTTTCGTTATATCTCAAAAACTATTCAAGATATCAAAAAATGTTTTATACAAAAGTTTTACAGTAAAATTACCTCCATTTATTTACGTTAATATTTTTTAAAAATAATTATTTAGAAAAATATTACACGGAGAGAATTTTTTTTTAAATTTACCTTGCAAATCATGTTAATTGTGGGACAATATAGTATTTAGGCAAATTTTACTATGCACTACAATAAATTTTACAGTAGTAAAGTACAGTAAAATTTATTGTAGTGCACAGTAAAATTTGCCTAAATACTATATTGTCCCACAATTAACATGATTTGCAGGGTAAATTAAAAAAAAATTCTCTCGTGTATTAACGTAAATAAATGGAGATAATTTTACTGTAAAAACTCTGGTATAAAACATTTTTTGATATCTTGAATAGTTTTCGAGATATAGCGAAAAAAACTGAAAATTGCTTTACATATAAGAGACGGTGGTTTCGCCTCTTTAAATCCTTTTTTTTTTTAGCACCAACTGATATTCTCTAAATTCATCTATTTATGTAATCTAAAAATGTACCAAGTTTCATTAAAATCAGAATTTAACGCTTCGCGAGGTTTCCCTTGTTACTCTTTTATTTAGAGGTTTGTCGCCACTTTCCGCAAGCACTCTGGAAAGACGTCGAATATGAAAAATTTGACGGATGCGTTAACGTATCGCGAGACGCAATCGCAATCGTGCAGGGCGTTGATGCGACGTGCGTTAGAACAATTACGATAGTTCACGCGTTCCGGATTCAATTAGCCGTATTGCGAAATTGCCGCGAGTAAAATAAGTAGGTACGCACGCGATTGCGGCCCTGAACGCACCGGCCGCGGCGTGTTACGCAGCAACGCGTCCGTATGTGCGCGTTTTGCAAACTGCAGTTAGCGCGTTTTGTATGTAGGTACGTTGTATGTACACGGTGTGTCTCCCTCGCGCGTGAGACACCGTAACGAGGACAATGTATTACGCAAACGGTCTCCGGCGAGTTTATTAGCGGATTCGTTCGATTAGCAGCTTTTCGTCACAGTCTCATTTCGAATGTACTTACTACTTACGTTATTCGAGAAGCGAAAAAGGAATTCACGTTAGGCCTTCTTTTTCTTTTATATACTCTACATTATTTCGTAATCGAAAAAGCGAGTCTCGAAATGGCTTTGATCAAAGCGCCTGAATATTATTATCAGAATTATTTAAGGGACCTTTAAAAATTTATAATAAAGAAAAAATATTTATTTCAGTTTTTTTTTTAAACCTATGCGACAATTTTTCATAAGCTTTTCTAGATTTATTAAACATTGAATTATTTTCTATAAAAATATGGAATAAATTTTCGTTAATGCCAAAGTTATTAGAATTCAAACGAAGTAATACAAAAAATGGTGGTGATATCTCTGATATAGCTCTGCCCTGTTTAAAAGATCCGATAGAATTAGATAAGAACCTATACAATGTTATCGTGTTTTTGGTTCGTAAATATCAGATTTGTTATCTTTTTTTACTCTATTTAATATATAATTTAAAAGTCATTGTAAGTAATATGTTTATCTTTGACCATATTTAGTCAAAATTGATATTATCGTACAATGTTTTCAGTTTATGTATGATTTATTATAATTATGTAATATTTTAATTTTAAAAATTTTGTATCTATTATATATAAATAATTTTAATAATTGTTACAAATATAATAAAATATCACAACAAATAATCGTAACAAATCATAATTTTCTCTCAGTTTGGATTAGATAACTCGATAATAATTATATAAAAAATACACGTTCAAATTTGTATTTAATGTATTTAAGTGTATTTAATGTTTAAGTAAGATATACTATTAAGAAACGATAGAAATAGATAACTTCTCTATAATGACTCAAATGTGAATCCGATAGAAACGATAACTTTACTATAAAATTAGATAAAGTTTCAATAAAGTTTAAATCTATTTCTATCATTATCTATCGGATCATTTAAGCAGAGTGGACAGCTCTGGATGAACTAAAACAGACGTTCTAAGATATTTTTATTTACGAATAAATGAAGAGATTGATGAATGTGAATTTTTTGGATTTTTTAAAGTGCTAAAAATTAATATTTTTTTATTCGCTTAGATCGATTTTTATGTTAAAAAGTCGATTTTCCTTACAGAAATTTAATACTGGAAGGTAGCGATTCGTTACGGAACAATATTACTTTAAATATTCAAAATAAGTAAAAGTAATTACTATCTTCCAGTATCAAATTGGATTTCTGCAAGAGTTTTGACTTTAAATGACGTCATTTTGTTATTTCTCATTTTCTCTCCTTTATCGAGGGGTTCATGACCTTTTTCAATTATTCATAAATGAAAATTCTCGGGATTTCCATTTCAGATCACTTAGAACCGAGATATGCTCTGCATTTTTTCTCGTGCCTCGTTGAACGCTAATAGCTTTAAAATTAATAAACATTTATATAAATTTTTTAAATTTAAAATAGTTTTATATACGTGAAATATAAACTGCATATAGGTCTATGAAATGCAAAGACCTGTGAAAATCGCAGAGGTTTAAAAAAAAAAAAAGTCTTCTTTAATAAACTTACAAAGGGCCTTTAAAAAAAAGCGAGATATGATACATAAAACAATTGGATCACGTCACGAAATGTAACGCGAAAAAAAAATTCCACGATAAAAAAATGCAAGTTTGAGTAAACTATCTACTATCCGACGTCAACTTGCATCTACTCGGTCGTTTCACGTATACGAATGTCGTCGACTGCGGTCATAAGTTTATGTAAAAGTTTATTTAATTCATCTGGGAAATGCGCGACCGCACGAATTCTAGCACGTGTCCGCGAGTCTTCGTGGCGCGAGGGAGGGAAGAGAAACGGTGGTCCTCGTGGACTTGGGTTCTTACGTTTTCTCGGGTCTTTTATACCGGGCGCAACTCGTAAAGGCTGCGGCTGCGACCTGCGAGCGCGCATTTTCTACCGCGTTTTACCCGAAGCCGCGATAGTAGGCAGCTGGGTAACAGAGGAGGGGGGAGGGGGAGCGAGGGGCAAAATAAAAACGGTGCATCGTGTGTCGGTTGACCGTGCGCGCGTTGCACGCGAGCAAAAATGCCGAGAGAGGCTTAGGAGAGAGAAAGAGAGAGAGAGAAGAGAACGCATGGAAAGGTCGGGTCGCGCGCGCATAGAATGGTGCACGATGAAATGCATGCATGCAGCATGTACGCATGCATGCACACCACACACCACACCACTCCCTGCCCCCTCCGGTGTTTTACTAACCTTCGGATGGAAATGGACGTGGAGGGAGTTAGAAAGGGCAACGCGCCCGGAGTTCACAGGAGTTCAGTTGCCATCGCATTATTGTACGTACGTTTATTATACTCCTACCCATTGTCATTATTACTGTAATAATGCGCGCGCAACACACAGTACGATTATTGAATTACTAAATATAATAGAGAATATATCGGGATGTATAATGTTAACTGTCCTACAGGGTGGATTTCGACCGGATTAATTGCGAATTATAATTATAAACTGGCTGTTAAACTAATCGCAAATTGAAATTGAGATTAGATGGACCAGCAGCAAATTGATATTATGATCCATAAAAATTGCAGAGGATTGTGATCCCGATGTAAATTTTAAGGCAAAAACGACACCCACGGCCTGTAAGGGTACATTGAGAAAAAAAAGTTGTTAAAATAACTAAATGCGTTTTGTTGACAGTTTTTCTTTGATTCAATTATATATGTTTTTAAATTAAACATACATCATTAACATGATATTTTTGTGAATTAATAAGTATTTTGTTGAATTAACAAATGTCTGCTTGACAGCCCGTGACCGCCGCATTTAGTTGAATGATATATATTTTTAAATCAACAATTT